CCAGGTACTCCACCGCCACCTTATCATCACTCTTCAACCAGTTGTGAACCTTCCTCGCTCCTCCTGGTAACGCATCCTTCAACCACTTCCTGATTCCAGCAGAATTAGAGGCCTTAACCTTGCCCCAGGCGAGCTTACAGACGTCGGCGACCTTATCCACCAACCTGTGCACGAGATCAGGCGAGTCGGGGAGGCTGGTGAGGTCAGCCATCCATTCGCTCGCATCAGCAGGGGAACAGAGAGGCCCAATATTCAGGTAAACGTAGTTCGCCTGCCCAGCGAGAAAGGAAGCCAAACGCCTAGCCTGCGCCAAGGTAGCCTTCCCACTGAGAGCTTTCCACAATCCGTACAGCCGAGAGTACACCATGGACCAGAAACAGAGGTGCGGAACATTGAAGGCCTGCTTGTTGGGCCCACGCCTCCGAATAGTGCCCGAAAACCTGGAGACAGCACAACCCCGTCCCAGGAGCCGCTCAGGTTCGTCAACCAACGCACATCCCCGAGACAGGAAAACCATTTCCGAGGTCCTCGACCACAAGGCGTAGTCCTCTGAAAGCCCATCAGAGACATGCTGCAGGGTATGCTCTAGGGTGGCTTCCTTGACATCAGGAGGTGCGTGCCAGTCAAACCCACTTGCACAGGCCATATTCAAATAGTACGGCCACAGGTGGTCAGGCCCAGCGGCAACAGGAAGCGCACCAGCCCGACCTCTACGTTGGACCACTTGCTCTAAAACATCCGCGTCTATCGTGACGTGCAGGCATGCGTGCGTTTTGAACGGGGACTCCAACACCGTCCGAACCTTCACGAGGGGGGCCACGTCCCTGGAACACACAGCGTCGTCAATCATTGTCATACCCACGTCACACGTATACTCGACATCGTCAGGAACTCGAACCCTGGACCAGATGATCTCCAGGAAACCCGACTCCAGCAACAGATCAGGCGACATATTGAAGTCACCGAGCAGGACCCAGGGAACACCCAAGGTGGTAATGAATTCCGCGATTTCTCTCAGCCGAGACAGATTCTCGCCCGTCGCCCCAATAGACGACACCAGGTACACAACACCAATCGCCATGGAAATCCCGTGAAGCCTGAACTCCAGGAAGAACCAGCACGTGCCCGAACCAACATTCACAGCCTGGAGCCCAGAGAGAAAACGTCGGCAGGACAGACCCTTTTGACAGAAAGCTGCAACGCCCCCATGAGAACCACCTCCTGGTGAGTCGAGAGCAGCCTGGAAGAACGGGTTCCAACCCATTACTCTTGAATCCTTCTTGGCCTTGTGAACACCATCTTGCCGAAGATGGTGCTCAACGATGAACATGGCGTCCATCTCCGATATCCTGGAAGAGAGAAAACCTTTGGTGACATCAGACCAGCTGGTAACGTTGCAAAACCTGATCTCGATGCCATCCTGCTTGCCACGTCTGCGCCTCGGACGCGGCGGGGCCGCCTCGCTAAAGGCGGGGCGGGGCTTCGCTGTGCGCTGCTGCGGCCGCAGGCTGCGGCGGCTGCCCTCCAGGCGCCGCCGCTGCCGCTGGCTTCTGCTGCTGCGCGGCAGGCTCCGCTGCTGCCGCGGGCGCCTGCCCTCCTGCCGCTGGCTGGCTGCCAGCAAAGGTGAGCTGGGAGGCTGCCGCCGAACAGAACAGGGAGAAGGTGGCAGAGGATTGGACACGAAGAGCCTTCTTGGCGCGCTTGCCTGCCCGATCGCGGGCGGCCTTGCTGAGCAGGACTCCGTAGCGTTCAGAGGCTTCAGGAGTGAGTCCGCGCTCAGCTGCACGCTTTCGCAGGGCTGCCAGCTCATTGAAGTCAGGAGAATCAGGATTCTCAGTGCCGGCCTCGCTCTGCGCCTCTTCACCCATGTCGAAATCGACCTCGGCGCTGCGCTGCTGGATGGCCACCTTGCGCATCTCGATCCACTGGTCGGGTGAGAGGTGCGACCGCTGGTGGAACCGCTGCAGCTCAGCTTCCGAGAGTTCATGTAGATGGTCGTGGACCCACTGGAAGTCAACTTGCCCGCTTTCTGTGATGCCAGGCAGTTGCGCACCTGGAGGACCGTGAGGAGGTACACCGTGTTGACCAGCTGCCGCAGGAAGCACGCCAGCGCCAGGAACACCCTGTACACCAGGTTGGCCGCCTGCAACACCAGGTTGAACTCCTCCAGCATCTGCGCCCTTGCCCACGCCCTTGGCTGCACGAGCGACTGCGAGGGCATGCTCGGCGGCTGCCTGCTGCGCCGCTGCTGCCGCTTGTTGCTCAGCACGTTGCAGTTCGAGGCGATAGGCATCAGCATGGAAATTATCCTTCTCATGGTTGGCACGGCGAAGTGAATCCGAGGCCTCTTGCAGCTCCGTCTCCTTCTCCGCGTGCTTCGACTCCGCACTGGACAGAACGTCCCGAGCGCGAACCACGGCCTGGCGACGTTGTTCCACATCCGCTTGCAGTACCCGTCCCTTGCGACTGGCCATCTCCACCGCCTTCGAGAGCACGCTGCGCTTGGCGGCGACCTGCTTCTCGATGTCATTGTCCGTGGCAGGGACGTGCGCCTCTGGAGACGGCGGCGGAGCGACTGCTTGGAGCTGCCCAAGCGCAGCCGCGTAGGTGGGGTACTTGGCCGCCAACGCGTTGAGGTCAGCAGCGAAATCAACTTGAGCAGCAGCAGGAGCAGGAGGGTGCGTGCCAGCGCCATCGTCGACATACGCGCCTCCACACTTGCTGCATTCCGTGTTCCCGAAGTGATCATACTCCCAGTGGCCGCACTTGGAGCACACCGAGTAGTGGCCGTTGCCGTAGCGGCCTCCACGTCCGTCGCGACGGCCACGCCACCAGGGAACATTGCGGCGCCACGCCATGATGGGCACAAGGCTTGGCACACAAAGGCCGTGAGTGTAAAAACTTGCCAGGTCTCAAGAGACCTTGCCACGCTCGGACTAGAGCGATCCAGTCTTGCCAATGCGGGCTCAGCCCGCCAAAGCATCAGCCTTGAGCCAACATGGTTACGGAGGAGGAGGAGGAGGAGGAGGAGGAGGAGGAGGAGGAGGAGGAGGAGGAGGAGGAGGCAAGGAGGAGGAGGAGGAGGTGGAAGGAGGAGGAGGAGGAGGAGAAGAAGGAGGAGGAGGAGGAGGAGGGGGAGGAGGAGGAGGAGGAGGAGGAGGAGGAGGAGGAGGCGGCGCGAGCTATGCACATCCGCCGCTCATACGGTCAGGCACAGCCTGGGCCCAGAAGCGGAGCAGACGCCCTCATCATGACCCGGCGAGGGGCAGTGGACATGTCTAGCTCTCGTTGCCCGATCTCTTGCGCAACCTATTTACATATATATATATATATACACACACCTATAAAACATAACAACACAACAGCAGCATCAGCAACAACAGCAGCGACAACAACAAAACAAAACAAACAAGTAACAACAAAAAAACGGCATGAGCAAAAATGTTGGGAGTTCCACGCGGCGGACTTCTGGGATCTGCGCCTGGGCCCCCTGGCAAAGCCTCCAGCTGCGCTCGCCAGGATGGGGGGGATCGGGCCTGATCCAAGGAATCCGCGCGGAGCTCCGACCGTGTACGTCAGGTTCGTGTCGTGACGACCCCGGCGTTGGTCTCTGACTCCGCGTGGATCGTTCAACCTTGAAGGGTCGGCGACTGTGGATCGCTCGATCGTTCCATAGAGGCCGATTCTGGGCCACTGGCGGCGTTCAACCTTGAACGCCCGCGGCGGGGTCGCCGCCGGTCGACACGACGCGAACCTACCGTACAGCGCGGACGCGGACGCAAGACATCCTCGCAAGAAACCCAACCCTGAAAATAAGCGCGCGAAGTGCACCTGAGGAGAAGCCCGGAGCACCCTGAACGCGGCAGCTTCTTTGACAGCCGCGGGAAGTCAACGCGCAGCGCGCGGAGCGAAGAAACCCAGGGTATCCTGAGGAAGAGGAGATGGTTCATTGATGTGCGTCCCCACTGTATGTTTATGCCGCTAAATCTTCTTCGACCGAGGGCACCCGTACACCGCTATACCGTCGCGCCTGTGGCTCACGTTCCCAGGACGGCCCGGGGCAGGCATGGTGGCGGTGCTGTATCTATTGGTGCCCCCCTGCGAATCTCCAAGATCGACTGCAGCAGCAGCGTCATGACGACGGCGTCCGTGTCCTGCCTGGTGTGGTATACGGACCAGATGGCGTTGTTAACGTCGTCCTCATTGGGGTGGACGGTGACTAGCAGGTTGTCCTGCCCCTTCGGCAGCTTCGTCAGCCGGGTCCGCGCCAGGCCAGCGAGCGGCTGCGGCTTGAACTGTAGCCTCTCCAGCGTCCTCTGGATGCGGTCCGCGTCGGCAGAGTCCAGGTTCCCGTGCAGGAGTGCCTGGCCAAAGAAGGACTGGCTGCTGTCCCGCAGCCTCTCGCTGAGCCTCACAACGTCCTCGCGGGTGGTCCGCGCCGACTGCGCCCTCAGAAACTCTATCGAGAAGGACGGGGAGGTGAGCGCTAGCCGCGCGTTGTAGGTCGCAAACGAGTAGGGCGGCTGCTTGTCGAAGGCGCTCTGGCCCCTTTTGACGAGGTCCAGAGCCCGGGCGAACTCCTCGGGAGTGGGCCCTGAGAACTCTTGCACCTTCGTGACAATCTCCTCCAGGAACAGGCCGAGCTTATCGCTGTACCCGCCCACCGTGATGCCGATCCCCTCCTCCGGGTGGCACGAACGAAACGGCACAAGCACAAGCGCTAGGAGGTCCAGGCGGCTTTCTTGGATCAGCGCTGGAGCCCCTCCCCCTCCCTGGCGCGCGGAACGCGCGAGGGGCGGCGCCAGGGTTGCTGCCAGGGGGGTGCAGCGCCGATCCCACAATTGATGCTTGCGCGGACGGACAAAAATTATCGGTACAGCTATTCTCAAGACCTCTCCCAGGGTCCAAGAGCTTCGAGGAGAATCCAGCAGGGGCGACCAGGACGAGCCGCGGCATCGGTACATGTTCCTCCTCTGAGCCTCCGCATGTGCTCGATTCCGATTTGGGACGCCCGACATCGGTACGGAAAAAATGGGTGCAATGCCCAACAACAAGTGCTGTCCCAAACCAGCAGCGGCCGCTGTTGGGCAGGCGGCCTTCTGTCTCAAATGGACACAGCCCGCGGCGGCGCGGACAGCGAGCCCTGCTCTGAATGAGCAAGAACTGCTGCTGGGCGTTGTGCCCACTCTTTCCGTACCCATTCCGTTCGTGCCGATCGATCCTCGGAGCTGGACACGGCGTAGTCCAGCTGGCAAATCTTGGCCGGGTACACGAACTCCGTCAGGCGGTCCGCGAGGGACAGCTGCCACACGAGCCCGGCCACCTGTGAAGGGGCCCCAGTACGCACAAATAACTACACACAAATAACACTATTCCCCATGTTTTCCCATATGTTCTGGGTTTTTGCCTTCCCCCCCACTTCGCAGATTTTCCCAGATTTTCTGGGGAACCGACGATTCATTGTGTCTGTGTGTTTTTGTTCCCTCCCGAACCTGGTCCGCGCGGGAGTCCGCGGGCCGGTGCAGGAGCACCTGCACGCTCGCCTGAGGCGTGAGGGTCAGCCAGCACCGAACACAGGAAGGGCCCGACCACGAGGAACCTCCTCCTCCTCCTCCTCCTCCTCCTCCTGCTCCTCCTCATTCTCCTCCTCCTCCTCCTCCACCTCCTCCTCCTCCTCCTCCTCCTCCTCCTCCTCCTCCTCCGCTTCCTCCCCCCACTCCTAGCCCTTTCGATCAGGGTCGGCGGCACCGGCAGTCAGGCCTCTCCAATGCAGTAAGGGCCCGACCACGAGAAACCTCCAACGAGAAACCCAACCCTGAGACCCCAGGACGTCCATCGATTTCTGGTGGGAGCGTCACGCTTCCCATGGCAAGACCATCGGAACCCAAGAAGCCCAGGGCACCCTGGAGGCAAGCAGGATGTTCCTTGGCATCGGCCCCCACCGTAGAGAGGTCGAACCGGATCGGAACAGTCAGAGGAGGAGCAACTCATGCGCGGCGAACGTGTCTACATCCTCGCCCTCGTGGTCCGGGGGCGCGATCCCGCGGCTACGTGGTCGCGCTGACACGCTCCGCACGGGGCATCCGCGAAAAAACGCCCCGTACCCACGGGGCTGCGGCCCAGGGGCACGGCCCACGAGGCCGCGGATAGGGATGCTCGGCGGCGAGCGGGGGGGGGAAAGGAGAAGGAGAGGGCCTTCTCAGAAGGAAGGCGAGAAACCCTCGCGCTTTCTGAGGAAATTCCTTGCACCTTCGGGGAAGGCTCGGCAAACTTCTCCGCAGGCCGGGGGGGCTTCTGAGCCTTCCGAAAGGGCCCGCCCCTCCTCATTTCCCCTCCTCCTCCTCCTCCTCCTCCTCCTCCTCCTCCTCCTCCTCCTCCTCCTCCTCCTCCTCGTCGTCGTCGTCGTCGTCCTCGCTCGCCGCCCAGAGCCGCTGTCCACCCGCGAGCCACAGGGGCCGCGCACGAACGTCACCCAACACGGGGCGCCTCTCGGGCGTGCCGCCGCCCAGGGGTCGGCACCCCCGACGGGTTCCGTGGCAGGGCTCCCTGTTGAAGAAGAGGAGGAGGAGGAGGAGGAGGAGGAGGAGGACGAGGAGGAGGAGGATCCGCTGCTGAGTCTGCTGCGGTCGGAGGCGGTATGCGGGTGCGGCGAGCTGACGAGGCTGGTCGCGGCTGCCGAGTCTGCGGGCTTCCGCTGCGGCGCTGCGGAGGCCGTAGGATCCGCGGAGCGGGTGAGGCGGCGGTCAATTCCTCTGGCGCAGGATCGAATCGGCTGGCATCGACGGCCCCCCCCCCCCCCTAATGGAATCGGAGTCGAATCGGAGCGGCCGCGCCAGGATGCACATCACAGCGCCGCGCAGGCATCTGGCCGCGTCGGATCGTCGGAACTGACTAGCTACCAGGCCACCCCAACCCAACCCGAAAACCCGAATTTGACCCGAATTTCGGGTTGGGGGGGGGTACGGGTTCCAAGTTTTTGGTAATGTTCCCCGACCCCCCCCACACACTCGAAATGGAGGAGAAATTGAAGATTTCGGGTTGGGTTGGGGTGGTTTGGTGGGTGGTGAGCAATATCGGACAGGGGCGGTCGATATCCATGTCGAACCGGATCCGTCGAGTCGAAATAGGCCCTGGGCTCGCGTGAAACGGGCCCGGGGAACAAAATATACCATACGATGCCCAGCCGAAACAATAATGTGCAAAACCAACATCGGCCGCTGTTGGGCAGGCGCCTCTCCAACGGACAACGTCTGCGGCGACACCGAAAGCTTTTACTGCTCAAATTGGACAGGTGTTGTTTTCGGTCGTCGTCCCCGTTCTTGCCGTACCGATTTCGACCGCACTGGAGGAACAACCGAAATAAACAAACATGTTAGCCATCGTGGACCCCAGACAGTCTGTGTCTAGCAGCACACGTTGCGCGACAGATGTGGCGCAATATATGTTGTGCAACCGATGTTGTGCAGTAGAAGCGGTGTGAACTATGAGGCGCAAAATGTGTTGTGCAATCTATGTGGAATAACCAACGTGGCGCAATCTACGTGGTCAACATCAGAGGGGGCCGAGCGGTTATGCATTGTCCCTGGGTGCGTGGTTGAGGTGGGATTCCGCGGCCCGGATTATTGTTGTTGTTGCTGTTGTTGTTGCTGTTGCTGTCGTCCTCACCCGACACCCCCCTCGAGACCCCCCCGCGACCCACCGACCCGCCCGCGACCCACCCGCGACCCACCGCGCGACCAACCCGCGGCCCACCCGCGACCCCCCCTTCGCCCACGCACTTCGCGCCTATCCACGACTGCGGGTGGCTCCGTAGGTTGTGCTATATACGGTATGCGACTTATGGTGTGCACTTTAAGCGGTAAGATCTATATGACACAATATACGTGCACCAATCAATATGTCGCTATATAGGTCGCGCAACAGATGTTGCGCAATCTATGCGTCGCAGGATGCGCGGTACAACACAATCTGCGAAACCTATATGGAGCACTGTTTGTGGTGCGCTCTACGAGGTGCAATCCACTCTGCTGAACTTGAACTCGCCATCTCCACTGCTCGCGCAAACATCCCGCCTTCCCACCCGCAATTTGTTTGGCAAATCTCATGATGCGGGGGACGGCGGCGCCGCCGATGACGACATCGACGATAACACCCTCAATGCCGATGCTAATCACCGTGAGTCGATGATGAAAGTGAGCATATCGGCGGTACCCGGACGCGCGCGATGACAAGGTGACGTCGGCAACGTCTGCGACAATGACAAAGATGGCACCAGCGACGACGATGTTCAAGAGGGCGACGGCACGAACGATAACGGCGCCAATGATGGCAAACACGCTGACGATGCTGATGTTCATCTGTCACTGAGGCAGGTGATCGCGGTGAGGCTGACACGGTGGAAACAAGAAATCCGCGCCGCGGAAGTTCAACAAATCCGTCAAACTGATCATGCGCGCGCGGCGGTTCGCGCATGTGGCCCGCGTGGTGTTTTTTGCAAGGGATCCGCGCCCTCGGCGCACGACAGGAGTATCGCGGGCGCACCGCGCGGCGACATGAAATCGCTGGATTTGGCAGAATTCATGAACCTCCTATGGTTTTCGTAAAAATTTTAGCATGAGCGCGCGGACAGGACATGTGCAACATGTGTGTTGCGAAACCCTTGGGTTTGTATGTTTGTATGCTGGAACGCTTGCAAACACATTGTGTTTGGTACGATGTTGACATGGACGCGCGCGTGATGACTTTGCGGTATTTTTCTGCAAGGGGTTATTGAAATTTGCTTTCTTAAGATGAAGTGTGGGCGTATAGTAAGATGTGACAGGATGGCGGGGGGGCGATACCGGCCTGGCTGGGATGGTACGACTTCGTATTTAAGATGGGCGCGTGCGTAAAATCAACACGAAATTACAATACTCCAGGGGGGGCCGTTAACTCCGGGGGTGGGGGGGAGTCTATTCTTCTGTTAGAAAGGAGAATTCACTTTGGCTGTCTTGAAACTGTCCTCTCCGCTGCTCGTGCAAACATCCCACCCTCCCACCCGCAATTTGGCCGCAAGACTTCTTAAGACCGTGACGGCGGGTACCAAATAGCACTTGGCTACGACAGCGATGCAGACGACGACAGCGACAACGACGACGAAGACGACGAAGCCGACGGCGACTACTACGACGACACCGACGGCGTCTCCGACGACTTCGACGATGACGACAGCAACGACGACGAATACGACGATGGCGACACCGACGACGACAACGACGACGACGACGCCGACGTCGACGACGACGAAGACGACGACGACGCCGACGACGAGGACGACGACGACGACGCCGACGACGACGCCGACGACGACGACGACGACGACTTCGCCAACGACGACGACGACGAGGGAGGAGGGAGGACGACGACGGCGACAACGAGGACAAAGACAAGGGAGGAGGGAGGACGGCGACGACGCGAACGACGAAGAAGGAGGGAGGACGGCGACGCCGACGACGACAACGACGAGGGAAAAGGGAAGACGACGACGACGATGACGACGACGGCGACGAAATAGGAGGAACGACGACGAGACGCCGACGACGGACGACCACGACGACGAGGGAGGACGGCGACGACGACGACGACGAGGGAGGCGGGACGCCGACGACGAGGACGACGACGACGACGACGACCACGACGACGACGCAAGAGCGCGCGCGCACACTTTTGTTGAAAATCCGTGTTTCGAAACCTTGTGTTTTTGTATGTTTTGGGGGACATTCGATTTTGAATCTTTCCGAATCCGAATGTTTTGTTTGAGGATGTCGGCGTGCGCGACGACGACGCGCGCGCACTTCGTCACATTTGTTGCAGATGGTTCTCGCGACGGCACGCGCGCAAGGGCGTTCGAAAGATTGCGGCATGCGCGCGCGAAGCCCGTTTGGTAGCATCTGTGAAAAAGTTGAAAACCGATGTTTTTTTTACATTTCGCCAGAGCGCGCGCGTAGTCTTTTTTGGGAAATCAGTGCACCCTGCGTTCTTGTATGTTTACTTGGACACTCGATTTTGAAATCCTTCCGAAACCGATGGTTTTGGAAGGATTGCGGCACGCGCGCACGAAGACGAGCGCGTGTGCACTTCGCCTTTTGTTTGCCAGGCACTCTTATGATTTGTGATACACGGGTGCGCGCGCATGAAATGTTGCTGAAGATGGCGGGGGGGGTCGGTACCGGCGCCCCTGGGATAGTGCAAATTCATATGTAAGGTGGACATTGGGTCCGAATCCTATGTGTTTTCCATCGGTTCCCGGGGGGTCTTTAACCCTGGGGGGGAGGGTGGTCCAACCTGTTGTCTGTTTTTTTAGAAAGGTAATTGATTCCCTTGCACCAAGATTGACCACCTCCACTGCTCGCGCAATCAACCCACCCACCTACCCGCAAACATGTTTGCAAAACCCATGCGGTGGCGATTGCGATGAATGCTTGAGGTTGGCTGGTCCATGTCTGGGGCCGCGCCGGCCCAAACACGCGCGCGCAGCGGCCAAAAACTAGTTTGACGCGGCCGA